CATTGAGCCACAAGGGCTCAAACCTGTCTCAACATTTGCGCGCCACGTTTCTCACTCTCCTATGCCCTCATTTGCTCTGCTAGAAAAGTTTACAACCTAAACTCCTAGCTTTGTTGATCGTGGTTCGTCGCCCAAGCTTTGAGATCGAGAGAATTATTTCGTTGGTTGAAGTAGGGGAGAAGGAATTGCCGGTAGTTAATCGGAAATGAGGTCGATCGTTTCGCGGCTGATCCATTCGAGATCATCGGTTCCCAAGTTATAGTGAGTTCCTTCTGTCTTATGACACTTAATTTTGTTTTAGAATGGTGGATTGTTTTTCTTTTCTGGTGTATTAGAAATGTATATTGAATTCAGTTTCTGCTATGCTTTCAGTTCTTCTATGGTTTATTTTGTTCCTTACTGTCGATTAACCATCGGATATATACGGAATTCGCCACCAAAAGGGTGTTGGAGGGGGCGGGGGTGGCCATACTGTTGTGTAGGTCGAATTTCATTTGAATTTGGTGCTCGAATTTCATTTCGAGCTTTTAGATTTGTTAGTGAATCGGGTTTTTTTCAGAATTGTTCATTATTGTAGGAATCCGAACTGGAATGACTTCCTCGAGAGTTGTAAACTTTGATTATCTTGACTGTAGAATTGTTCGGTCTGTTGGTAGACAGACATGATCTCAGTGGGGATAAATTGAGAACAATGTGATTGGCGTTTGCCCCAATATTTTATTTAATTTTTCTAATCCTGACGTCAAGAATAATTTATGACTCAATTGCAGCTCTTTTTACTAAATGTGATTAACGGCAATCATTTTGTTGTTTCTTAACTATATTGTACAGCACAGTGACTGCTTTTCAGAGCGGGAGGCCATTTTCAACAGACTCTAACAAGGTCGACGAACCGTTCAAGGTCGAGGAAGCTGAAACAGTTAATGTTCCCCCACCTCCAACTGAGAAGGTATATGAAAAGAAGGACAAGGGTTGCTTGTGATTTCTGTAATTCTGTCTGTATCTTTGAGTTTGATCAATGCTATCTCCGTGGCATGTGCAATTGATCAGTTGCTGGTGCTGGGTGGAAATGGATTTGTGGGTTCTCATATTTGTCAAGAAGCCTTAAATCGTGGTCTTACAGTTGCTAGCCTTAGCAGGTATGTTTCAATATAAGAGCATATGCATCTTTGGCTTTTATGTCGCCTAGATTGTTTTACGTAAGATCTACACTTTTGAATGATCATATAAATCTATATTTGTTTCCTTCATATTGAGGAACTGATTGTAATAGGTACACTTTAGTTTTCAATACATGTTGAATATGGAAAGTACAAAAGAATCAGCTCAAAACCTTAAGAACTCTTTATTGGAAACTGGATCGCTATATGCTGCCTTTCAAATCACTATTTTCTTAATGAAAATGTATCGGCGAAATCAGGCCAGAACGATCGCTATTATAGATAATACGATTTGTTTTCCATCTTGTTGTTTAATGAATGGGAACTTCAATGTCTTTGTTCAGTTTCCTAGTGTTGGAAACTTTATTCTGACATCACAATAATGGCGCTTTGTTATTATTATCAGGTCTGGTAGATCATCAATACGTGATTCTTGGGCTAACAATGTAATTTGGCATCAAGGTTTGATTCCATTCCAGATGTTTTCAACTGTCAAATTTGTGTGCTGGCTTAGTGAAAATGCCTAAACTATTTTTCCCATTGCCAGGAAACCTTCTTTCACCCGATTCACTGAATGAAGCTTTTGACGGTGTTACCGCTGTTGTATGTAGTCCTCAACTTATTCTAAATTGTAAATTAGTTACAACTTTATTGTGTATACATTAATCCACTGATATATGGAATGGTTTGAGTTCTATGTGCACACTTCCCGATTAACTGTCAGGATACTGTTGGTAGACTCCTAGCAGCTATTATTCTCAGTTGTGATCAGGAACGAACTTATTTATGCGCACAACTAAATAAGTACTAAGTAGCATTTAGAAAAGGGAGGATTCTCTACTTGTATATAGCATTTCTTATTCCTGCAAATTATTTCTCTACTTGTGCCGGGGATTGCTAGTTTTGGTAAATTTTAGTTTTTTATTTCTAGGTCTCTTGTATTGGTGGTTTTGGCTCCAATTCTCAGATGTACAAGATCAATGGGACGGCAAATATCAATGCAATCAGAGTTGCTGCAGATAAAGGTGCAGTTTTTATGTGGTAATAAATTTATGAAAATGAACTGAAATTATGCAGTCTAGACCCTTCTGTTTCCTGTCAAAACTTAAATCTTCTAATGCTTTGATAGCATCTCACCTCACGTCAATAACCACACTTCCTATGCCCAATAATTTCCTATATTTCACGGGTCTCCGTTGATATGCATTGCATGTTTCATTATTTTTCTTGTAATGCTGATATCTCTGTACTTCCAATTCTAATGCAGAATTATCTGATGCTCGAGTGTTTCTTTTCTTTCTTGTGCCTTAGTTTTTTTTTTCCCCCCGTTTTTCGATAAGAAATGATACTGCAGTAAAGCAAAAGAAAGGTACAACCTTGGGGCCGTGGGTAGAGAGAACCCCCTCCCAACAAAAAAACTATAAGAAATCCCAACTAGATGTTTTGGTCTCCATCTCACTAGTCTAATTTTTGGCTTATCAATTATTCTTAACTTCAACATTTTGTCAAATGATTGTAGTTAGTTTAATATTTGCTGTACTTCTTGACTCTTACCAAGGCAGTACCAATCGCTTACAGGTGTAAAGAGATATGTCTATATCTCTGCTGCTGATTTTGGCTTGGTCAATTACTTGCTACAGGGATATTATGAGGGAAAGGTAGAATTTCTATTCCTTTTATTCCAAGAGTTGGTAATTAATCAAGATCTTGGACACTTATATATCATGTAGCCTGTTAATGCCTTTCTTGATCAATTCAAACTATGGTCGTGGGGTTTTTAAGGAAAATTGAACACTGATAGAGGAAATGACTCATTTAACTTCCACCAGAAATCTGGGTCACCAATCTTTCCATTTTGTGCAGATGGAAGTTCTATATTACATTGTTTTCTTATGAAAATCCTTTTCACAATTCATGTAATTTGGATTGATGTGGCTCATGCAAAATCTGTGTTTCCGTTTGTGTAGCGAGCGGCTGAGACAGAACTCCTCACTAAATTTCCTTATGGAGGTTAGATCTCTGATCTGTCAATGTTACTTTCAAACTCTTTAACTTGCACTTTTGCTCGTGCAGTTCAGATATATTGCCTGTAGTACGTAAGATGAATCTATACTCCCAATACTCTTTCATTTAGCTGCTAACAAGCGGTCTTGTTTATTGGCTTTCGTTAACATGTTTTTCTTTTCTAAATTATCCTGTCTTTTACAGTTAACAGTTTATGTGGAGAATAAAATGTTCTTTAATATACGTTTCAGGAGTGATTTTGAGGCCGGGATTTATTTACGGGACCCGTAACGTCGGGAGCATGAAGTTACCTCTGGGAGTGATTGGCTCTCCTTTGGAAATGGTAACTTGTGGTTTCTTCATTTGTTTTCTCGTTTAGGCTTTCCATTATGCCATGGACTTCGGTTTCTCATCGCCATTATTAGTTTAACGCTTGGCTTGATAACTGTTTGGTTTTTGGTTTTTGGTTTCTGGACAAGTAAAATGGATCTGATCATGTGATATTCAAATCTCTTAATCCTAATCCAAACATTTCCCTGCAGGTTCTTCAACACGCCAAACCACTACACCAGCTACCACTCGTTGGTCCTCTATTAACTCCTCCAGTAAGCGTGACTTCGGTGGCAAGGGTTTCTGTTCGGGCAGCAACGGACCCCGTCTTTCCTCCTGGAATCATCGACGTCTATGGCATACAACGGTACAGTCAACAGAAGTCGAAGTAGATTCGATAAGGCATGCACATTTTCTCTCCCTATCACACACTATATATATATATATATATATATATATATATATATATTAGAGAGTCCAAATCTAAACGTCTGTTGAACTTCTCACTTGATGAGACTTACTCGACAGTTTGTGCACTGGGTTGAAGATAAAAGACAGGTTCATTTTCTTGTATCTGATGCTAATAATATCATGCAGAGATCTGCAAATTCATGGTGTAGGAGAAGAAGTATTCATTTGGCTAGTTTGGTATTGGTTTTTCCTTATCTAAACGTCATAATTCTTTCCCATTCAGTATCCATCCTTGTCTGCTGCTTGCCTGAACCAGCTTATGGAGAAAATTTGTAGTGTTAGATGAATACCTTTATACACATTTTCTTAATGCTATTGAATGTCACTCTCTTTCGAACGATACCGACTTAGTTGCATTCATCGGGTAGTGTCCATACTCGCAAAATGCTATAATTTAATATCGATACATTATTTAAAACTAAGTTGTATGCTTATTAAATAGTTCACCTTATGCTAAAGTGAGGAGAGCTTAACGTCGAATTAAGAAGAACTCTTACACTCCATCTTTATATTAAAAAAAGTTTAAGGTCACATTTTGATGCGAATGATATTTATAAATACGTATTTCAACCATTTATGTTAAAAGTATGAGTACTAGTTAAGTAAAAACTAAGGATAGCGACATCGAAAATTGTTGCAAAAAATATTCATGAATTTTCAAAAGTTACAGTAAAACAACTTTCAAAAGTAACCGTAAAACGTGTCGACAAAATTAATTGCTACTTTTAAAATTTAATGAATATTTCTTAAACCTAATTTATTTAAAGTATTAATGATTAAAAGTTCATAGGTATTTTTACTTAAACATATTTTAAAAATAATTTAGTCAAGATATTATAAAATTAAAGTTTTATGTACTAAAAAAGTGTAATTAAAAAAAAAAATTATTGGATTTAAAAAAAAAAAAAATTATTGGATTTTCTTCTAAAAAAAAATTATTGGATTTTTTTAATGTTGCCTACGCAAAGTAATGTTTTAAGTGGACGAGAAAACGAGGGCCACGTAGGCTAATGGCTCTTCTATATAAAGGGCAAATTCTAATTCTAAAAGCTTCTCAAATCGAGGAGTAATTCGAACGAGCTTCGTTCGAAGAGAGGGAAGACGAAGAAGATGAACCATAGCCAACAAGCGACAGGGAGCAGGCACGACGATGACGCAGCGCTCTCCGAGTTTCTAGCATCTCTAATGGAGTATACTCCCACTGTAAGATCTCATTTGGATGCTGCTTAACTCCGAGTTGATTCTTTCCTTCCATGCGTTTTTCTATAAGTTCAAATCACGTCGGTGTTTTCTTTTCGGCTATCATTCACAGATTCCCGACGAGTTGGTGGAACATTACTTAGGAAAGAGTGGATTTCAGTGTCCCGACGTTCGATTGTAGGTACCTTTTCGTTTGTTTTTATTATTTTCGTTCATCAAAACCCTAGGTTTAAAACGCGGTTTTTCGATCGACAGATGAGATGGATTTATCTTTTTTTCCTAATTTTATGATTGGTATTGCTTTATTTTCACAATTTAATCGTACTTGGGAATTTTCTATTCGGTTGGTTGGTTGTTGACTGCTAATATCGATCAAAGTGATGCTTAATCCTGCCGGGGGTTGCAATTAGGGGATTTCTTATTTCGAGTATTTTTCTTTTTTAAAGAGACAATGTTGGTTATTGTTGCTGATTTTTTGTTGTTGGGAAGTTGCCTCTACATTACTTAATCTCTATGAATGAACCGAGTATGAGATTGGAGGACAGTTCCCACCTCATTCCCAATGAAGAAATGGGAATTCTTCGCCCTGGGGTAAATTCTTGATTATTCTTTGTAGGTCGGGCGTGACATGTGCTTACCTGGTTTGTTCTGTAGTAGTGTTATTGAACATGAAGACGGCCTTTTTAGTGTTTATAGTGGTATTCTGGGTAGCGGTCATTGCTTCGGACTTTTGATTTCAATGAATGGTGTTATTAGTGGCTGCATTTCTATGCTGAGAATTGTGCACTGGGGAAGTTCATCTAGTTCTTGAACTTTTTCCTGTTCTATTCCAACTATTCTTCTACTCTTGTTTTCCATTTCATTTCGTAGTTTGTTTTAATCTTCTAAAGTTGGGCGTTTAAAATTTTTCAAAATGGAGAGGATATAAGTCATTTAAGATCTTTGATTATTATGAGATGGATTCTTTAACCTTGGCCTGGTTAAGTGCTTTCTAGGTAAAGAGATTCTCAGTTTTGATTGGCGTTAGTTGCGTTCACCATCGCAAGAAATATTTGTAATTAGAAATTGGCTTTTTATTTGTTGCGTTCACTTTTGCAGGATCAGGCTTGTTGCTGTTGCTACGCAGAAGTTCGTTGCAGATGTTGCAAGTGATGCTCTCCAGTATGCTTGCTTTCTTCTTTCTTATTTTGCATGAGGGGTGCAAGTAAAATATGATCATAACTTGAGTTGCAGACCTTATGATAAAAAAAAAATTAAAAAAAAACTTGAGTTGCAAACTTTACATTTAATTACATTTAACGATTTACTCCAAGTAATCCTCTACAGCTGACATCATCACCTATTAATTTTTCTTCTTCAACCCCCATGACTGCGTTATTATTGTTTGGAAGGCGTTTAATGACTACCATCTCTTTCCCATGCCCTTTTATGTACCTGGGGAGATTTTCTTTGTGGGTTTTCAAATGCTTTTGTAACAGTTGGGGTATTTAGCTGCTTGGGTTGGTAAGAGTTTTTCTAGGTTCATCAACGTCTCTTTGTAGGTTGCGGCAACAGTCTTTTTTGTAATTATCTATAAGGTCTTATTTTACTTAATTGGTTTCTTTAATTTTTCTCCTATTTCATGGGCTCCTTTTTTGTGTACTCTCTTTGAGAAAGTTTAGTTTCCCAATAATAATAATAATAATAATAATAATAAAACTTATTTGGCTGTGCAATGTAGGCATTGTAAGGCGAGACAGGCAGCAGTAGTGAAAGACAAAAGGGATAAACAACAAAAGGTGCATTTTTTGTAACACAGGGTCTCTTGATTGATAAATTATTTGGCCAGTCTAACATTTTGCTGGTCCAGGATAAGCGCTTAATATTGACCATGGATGATCTCTCGAAGGCTCTTCGTGAGGTAAGCTCAAAATGTTATTTATTTCTCATTCCTTTTTCAATTATTAAGCTCTTGTGCTTGATGGTTATTTCATATATAGGCTTAAGAGATCATTAGTTTGATTCTGGTATGCATTCTTCTTTTTAAAAGGTGCTATAGGTGGGTTCTTTTTAACATATGCTCGATTTTTATTTGTGTAATTAACTCCTGGCAGGCTGTAATCTTGTGAAGAATTTGTGATTTTTTTTTAGTTCTTCAAATTGCATGGTGCATCCTCAACATTATGCAGTTTACACTTGGTGGGGAGTCTTAAAAATGTGCATTTGTAATTGATACCCTTTGATCATAGACATTGGAAGATCTAGTAGTTTCTTATCCAAACTAACCGTCTTGTTGGTACTTGATGAACAGTATGGCGTGAATGTGAAACATCAAGAATATTTTGCTGATAGCCCTTCAACCGGAGTGGATTCTACTTCCAGAGAGGAATGAGTTGGAATAACGGTTAAAATGTCTCATCGTTGTGTTCGTGAATATACTGATGCATCATAGTTCAGGTTGGAGTACTCTTGCTGCCTGCCATGCCCAATTATTAGTCATGTTAGTATTGCTATCATTAAGTAGCCGTCTGTGAACTGTCATTGCAGTAGACATGTTAAGCGTTTTCTACATGTCTACTAAATGAAACTGTGCATAACGAAACCCAAAACATCATTCTTGTTCATACAAGGTTATGTTATCATGATGCATTCTCCATGGATTTGCAGCTTGTAAGAACTCTAGTCGATCTTATTTTAACTCTTAGAAGTGAGGATAAGTAACGCGACCATGTCTCGGAGATCTGAATTTTATTATTATGTGTGCAAATCTTTGAGTGGGGTTTGAACGGATCTTCCCAATATGAACGACAAAGTGGTTCCCAATTCTTCTGTCTTGTCGGTTCCCTTCTAATCACTCCTTTCTATTCATTCCTCCAATCTTTCCTCTTTATTCGTCCCTTTCATTTTCCGTACCTTATTATTTCCAATTCACTAAAAACTGAACTATTTTTACAAATTTGCAAATCGACCCAAATTGTTATAAACTAAATTTTTACGTTTTTTCATTATGATCGATCTTGTTAGTTTAATGAACACAGCGGTGCCAATTAGTATTTACTAAATGATTGAATTAGTATTTACTAAATGATTGAGTTAATATTAATTTTAGGGACCCAACCAATAATATAATGATAATATGAGATTAGGGACCCAACCAAAGGACCCCACAGCATTAGACATTTAAGTCCAAAACCAGATGGAAAGGTCCGATCACATGCCTTCTGCTAAGCGCCAACGCCATCCCATGTGCCCATTTTTTCAAATTGTATGCCAACCCCACGCACCGACAACCCCAACCCCAACCCTATTTCACCACACCTCATCATAATGTTTATTTAATTTCGATTCAATTTTCTCTTTGAAATCGTTAATTTTAGTTTTTAATTAAAATTTTAGTATATATTCTAATTTTGAACAAACAAACCCTTACTACGAGAATCATATACCTTTAGTTGACGTTTTGTTTTAATATATCTTTATGGTTTTTTTCGATGATTTGTGTTCAGTTAAACTTTTTGAAAATTGAAAGTTCCATTCAGTTAGGTCAATCCGACCAACCGAACAATAGGGTTACAATTTAACATAATTCTACCATACCTTAAAAAATATTAAGAATATATAACATTTGGTGTCGGTCTTATAACTGTTTGATATCTGAACTTTATGAGATTTTAATGGCTAACGTAACATGTATTGCACATAAATAATATTTTTTTTAAATAACTGGACAACCCGACTCGAGAATAGAGGGTTGGATTGAGTTAAATTCTGTGTTGGATGATGAAAGTCTCACGTTGACTAATTTAGGGAATGATCGTGAGTTTATAAACAAAGAATACTCTCTCCACTGTGATGAGGCTCTTGGAGAAGCCCAAAGCAAAGCTGTGAGAGCTTATGCTCAAAGTGGACAATATCATACTAATGTGGAGAGTCGTGATCGAGTTATTCGGGTCACCAATCTAACCAATCCAAATTTTGAGTTAGGTTCGAAAGATTTTTTCAACCCAATTCAACTCAGTACACTCATATAAGAATATATATATATATCTTGTAATTTTTTTTATTTTTTTTTGCCCTAAAAGTTGAAATTCTAATTTGCTACCATCTATTTTCCAAATTTAAATTTGAGTAGTGAGAAACTACGTCGCTTTCACTCCCGCTACCACTCCTCTGGCTTTGTACATTCACCACCTACTCTCTGAACCTCGCTTAAATTTAAACCTCTCTTCTACCTCTCTCACTCCTCCAAATCCTCCATCGCCGTTTCTCTCTCTTCACAATGGCGATTAGTTCAATGAGATCCTCTCTTCCACCTCTCCTCTGTCTCTGTATTTCCTTCTTCGCCATTGTTGGAGCCGACGATCCTTACAGGTTCTTCAACTGGAATGTCACTTACGGCACCATTTACCCCCTCGGCCTCCCCCAGCAGGTTAGGTTTTCGGTTGAATTTCGTTGATTCGTTCAGTTTACAATGGATCTGAATTTGCTCTGTTTTTTAGGGCATTCTGATTAATGGCCAATTTCCTGGCCCTGATATTCACTCTGTTACCAACGATAATATCATTATCAATGTCTTCAATAGCTTGGACGAGCCGTTTCTCCTCTCCTGGTAATTCTTCTGTTCCTCGCTCTCTGTCGGAAACTTTGAGTCGAGATTTCCATTTTCGTTCCTGAATGTGAAAATGTGCTTTCTAGAACGTGCTACTAAGTGTTCGGTAGTTTGTGTAGAGTTGGAGTTGAAATATTAAGAAGAAATATGAAATTTATGAAGCTAATTTGGAAAATTTGTCGACATTGATTACGTACTCTCTCTTTATGTTTCAATCGCTAAATTTAGGGGTTGGATCTGGTTTAACTGTTAACTTGTTGAAGAAGCCTTTTCGAGATGATGCCTGCGAGTTATCATTAATTAAGCTGGTCTAAATTGGAAGTTTAATTATCTGAAAATTTGTGTTGTGAACTGTGAAATTAGGAATGGGATTCAACAGAGGAGAAACTCATACGAGGACGGAGTGTACGGAACAACATGCCCTATTCCACCAGGGAAAAACTTCACCTACATTCTCCAAATGAAAGATCAGATCGGAAGCTTCTATTACTTCCCTTCCCTCGGCTTCCACAAGGCCGCCGGTGGTTTCGGTGGGATCAGAATTCTCAGTCGCCCCCGGATTCCCGTTCCCTTCCCGGATCCCGCGGGCGATTACACTGTCCTCATCGGCGACTGGTACCAAGCTAATCATACGGTAATTAATCACTGACCATCCCTTTTCCTTCCATTCTAGAGATTCCAACATTGAACTTTTATCGATCTGATTAGTTTCAAAATTAATCTCTGGCTAGTCGAAAAGGGTGAAAGAATCTTGAATATTGGTCACGGGATGAGCCAGATTGGCGGGGAATAGGGAATCATCTCTTTATTAGACTTTTTTGAATTTCTTTCTAAATTATAAATAATTTTCTGAGACTTGGTCTCTTTTTTCAAAAAATGGCCGTATATTTTTTTAGAAAGTTATAATATTAAATATTAATGATACGAGAAAAATTTTCAATATTGGACAATTAAATTTGAAAGAACTACAATCAAATACATTTATATTTTTACTATAATATAACGAGTTTTTATAATACAAAAATATAAAAATTAAATAATATTATTACAAATGGTGAAAGAAAAAAATTATTTATTAAACAAGTGACAAATATGAATCATATTATTATTATTATTTATTTATTTTACCTCTGTCGGTAGACCGACCATTGCTGAGTTCGACGACTGTCTGATCCGTAATATTTGACTTTTCAAGACCTTTTTGCTTCTCTCTCTAGTCTCTCTCTCTCTCTACAGAGATTAACAGCTGGATTATTTAAAGGGTACTTTCTTTCTTTAATGGTTGTTCATGTTGCGGGCCATGGCTGCCCCTCGGTGTGATAATCATAAGCTGAATTTAATTGGTTTCTTGGCATGTGCGTCTATTTGATGAAAGGCCCTTTATATTATTATTATTATTATTATTATTCTTTCTTGAAAGGAGCTTTTTGTATGGTTGGGCTGTATGCATTCCAGCCAACGAAAGCGCCCTTACGTCTCAGTTTAGGCGCCGATTCCCAGGCTCCCCCAGACGCGCTTTCCTCCAACTTCGGATCCCTCGTTAATTTAACCCTCTCCTACTCCCATAGTTAGAAAAGATAAAGATGTCCTATTAAATATTATATTGTTTAGACTGCGGCTTCCCTCGACCTTTAAAAAAGTATATGTTAGTGAGATGTTTCCACACTCTTATAAGTAATGTTTCGTTCTCCTTTTCAATCGACGTGAAATCTTATACTCTATCTCTCTTGTGGGTCACAGAGCTCAAACGGGCTTTGATACCATTTATAACTGTCCAAGCCCACCTTCTTTTTTAAGTTTTTTCTTTTAGAATTCTCTTCAAAGTTTTAAAATGTGTCTAGTAGGAAAATATTTTTAATCTTTATAAAGAATACCCACGTTCACTTAGTTTCAAATTTTTGTTGAAACACATAAAAATCTTGTAAGGTCACATCTAATCTATCTTTTTTGTCTGGTTGTTTGGTTTGGTCTTATAATTAGTCCCTTCTATACATGAATCTCGCCAACTCCCTTCCTTGAAATAGTTCACTTGACAACGAAGTGAACCCAAAAGTGCCTCATTTTCTCCTTTTGCTCATTACCCACTTTTAGTAAGAGGGACGGACCATTAGGTATCTGCTTGGATTGGAAAGGTGAGAAACTACAAACATCTATCTATCTGTTCTTGAGATAGTGACTCCATCTCAAGTAAACAAGAAACTTATGCGAGTTATCTTGAATATAGAAAGAGAATCTTTCACATACCTAAATATAGATTAAAGCATTATATTATGGAATTATTCTTTTCCCCTGAAGTGTAGCCATTTTAAACTATAAGATTTGTTTTGCAGACGTTGAGGGCCCAACTAGACAATGGCTCAATGCTTCCACTCCCCGACGGAATCCTCATCAATGGTCGTGGACCCAACAGAACTGCCCCTTTCAACGTGGAACAAGGTAATTAAGAAAGCTCTACGTAATTCTACTTTTAGTGAAAAAGTTCTTGAGTGAAGCCCATCTCTGTTTCGTCTTTAAAAACAATGCTATTCAGAAAAAATCAAGCTCTAAATGATTCAGGGAGGCTATGAAAATACCTTATTTCGAGTGGTTTTTAATGAATAGTTGTTATCGGCTGAGAAGAGAACAAAATAGCCTTTATAAAGGGGTGGAAACTCCCTAACTAGCCGATCTCAAAACTCAAAAGTCTAAATATATACTTGTAGGCTTGAATTTACATTTTAGACAAAAGCAGCTCTCATCATTGGTTGTGTATATGTGTTTTGTTAGGAAAAACTTACAGGTTGAGGATCTCAAATGTGGGGCTCCAAAGCTCTCTCAACTTCCGAATTCAAGGCCACAGGTTGAAGGTGGTCGAAGTTGAAGGAACCCACTCCCTCCAAACGGAATTCTCTTCCCTTGACATTCACGTCGGCCAATCTTATTCCGTTCTTGTCACCGCCGATCAGCCCGCTCAGGACTTTTACATTGTCGTTTCTTCTCGCTTCACCACTCCCATCCTCACCACCACCACTATTCTCCGTTATGCCAACTCCGCCGGCTCCGTCCAAGGCCCACCTCCCGGTGGCCCAACTATCCAAATTGATTGGTCCCTCAACCAAGCTCGAGCTATCAGGTAACCTCTCTATCAGTCTCGCTAATAATGGAACTCTAGGCTTCAAGTTAATGGATTATGAATGCTTTTACTCCAATAGTCTCAAAAATTTCCATACAAATGCAGAACCAACCTTACAGCCAGTGGGCCTCGGCCGAACCCACAAGGCTCTTATCACTATGGTCTCATCACCACGACCAAAACCATTGTACTGTCGAACTCAGCCGGGCTTGTCAACGGGAAGCAAAGATACGCCGTCAACAGCGTGTCATTTATCCCTGCAGATACTCCCCTGAAGGTCGCCGACTTCTTCAAAATAGGAGGAGTTTTCCGGGTCGGAAGTATTTCTGACTGGCCCAACGGTGCAGGAATCTACGAAGACACCTCTGTAATGGGCGCTGATTACAGAGCTTTCGTCGAAATCGTCTTCCAGAACAACGAAGACCTCATCCAGAGCTGGCACCTCGATGGCTACTCCTTCTTCGTTGTTGGGTAATGAAACTATACATTAAAATTTCCTCATTTCTCTGGGCTTTTCGCTGATTTTCCCTTAAAAATTCAGTATGGATGGAGGGCAATGGACATCCAATAGCAGAAACCAATACAATCTACGAGACGCAATTGCACGGTGTACCACTCAGGTAAAACCAAGCTCTAGTTTTCATTTACTTTACAACCATTTGTGAAGCATGAGGAAGAAAGATGAAGCTGTTGTTCATGGCAGGTGTATCCGAAGTCATGGACTGCAATATATGTGGCGCTGGACAACGTGGGAATGTGGAATTTAAGGTCGGAATTCTGGGCAAGGCAGTACCTGGGTCAACAGTTTTACTTGAGAGTTTACACGCCATCGACTTCATTGAGAGACGAGTACCCAATTCCAAAGAATGCTCTGCTCTGTGGAAGAGCCACTGGGAGACGAACCAGGCCACTCTAGGCTCTATCCTCTGAGCTCAACACAATCAAATGATTTGTCATGTCGTATCATATCATATTTAGTTCTTCTGGGAAGGATATTCAAAAAAAAAAAAAAAAAAAAAA